AGCTCTTGGCCTAATAGAGAAAGTGCAGTTATGTACTATTATTAATTCTTGCAAGTGTTTTCTGAATTCCTACACCTCGTAGTCATTAACCTTTTAAAAATAAGGCTAAGAGGATTTATCTGTAACAATGCTCAATATTTCCTAAAACCAAATTATGTAAATTTTGTCTACATCAGACTCGGAAAAAAGCTTCTTTTAGTTTTCTCCGGAATGGCAATGTCAGCTTATCCCATGACATTAGGGTTACATGGATAATATGAAGTAAAACCTACTGTAAGAGGTATTTATCGCTGCTAACATGTTTTAAAACTTTCATCTCTTATATCCTGTTATTTTAAATGAGGACGATGCTTCATCTCCTTTACCATTAAATTTTTACTGATTGTTCTTAAATTGTATGAGGATGCTTTCTGTAGTTCCAGTGACATTTAATTATCTGGACATAGTCCCTAAGCTATAGCATTCCCTCCCACCTATCTTGTGAGACAGAGAAATCAAAGTAGTATGCTGTTAAAGTAATTTTGCACAATAATTTGTATTTTGGAATAATCAGGGATTATAGTCTTAAATAATTCAGATTTTACGATGTTAGAAATCCTGATTTTATAGGATTACATGCACCTTTCACTTCTGTGGGAGCTGAGGGTACTCTGACCACATTTCCCCAAGGGTCTCTCTCTCTCATGCCTGACGTTAATCGCTGCTGCTGTGCACTGAGCCACCCCCCCTGCACAAACGAGGCTGCAGGACTTTGCAGGTTGGTTTCTAAATCCAAACTCCTGCCAGGGAGCTGCACTTGCAGTCAGCACCGGATAGTTTTGTCATCTCAAATATCACTAGGACTGTTCCTGCGATGGATTTTAAGGGCATGCATTTAAAGAATGATGCCCTGCGTCTGTTGGGAGATGTTAGTAACTTCCAAAGGTTCCCTGCTTCCTTCATTTCGCAACAGAAATTGTGCAAGCTTCCTAAACAATTAAAATATTCATAATTTGTTACTGTTGTTCTCTGCTCTGGTTGTTGCACTTCTGAATGTGATTCACTGATAGTCATCAAACCCAGACTGCAGGAAAACTTGGTGACCTTGGGGGATAAGTGACTATTCCAGCAGCCCCAGCAGGATGCGAACGGAGGGCTCACACAAACGCTAACTGGCACCAAGTCTGCTATTGTAGGCAGCATCTGAAGCCCGTTCTCAGTACGGAGCCATGTCCAAGAAATCTGATTATCTCTCTCTCAAATTCTTGCCATCGTCACATGCATAGCAGCTTAGCAAGTGGAAGTGAGTCAGTATAAATAGAAATGACAGTAAGCGTGTCTTCCGATTTGTTCTCGCAAGTTTTTTTTTCCCTTCCACAAAGCCCCAGTGTCCTTTGGGTGAGCGACTGGGAATTAGATCAAAACTGCGTGTTTAAAATTTAATCACTTCCCTGCTAGCATTACACACAAAACACATATATTATTCACGGTGTTGTCAGTGACATCAGGATCTGTGATCAAACGCAGGTAGCACAGCGAGGAGCCCTGGGTTTTGCTGTGCTGCGACGCTGAGCAATACCCTCTGCCGGCAAGCGGAAAACATGACAGCACCGGGATGTGTCACCCACATCAGCCCTCGTGTCACTTGGTGACTGTCACACTCTCTAACCCACATTAGGAATGGCGAAGTAGTAAAGTACAGTGTGAGAGAGCTGGGAGTTTTCTGTTTGTCTGGAGTGTTCAACTTGCTTCAGTTTTCAGAGGTTTACTACCTGCGTATGTTTATGTCAGATCAGTAAGCATATGTCCCTTAAATACCTGACCGTCACTTTACTTGGTTCCATCACGCTTTTGGGGTCAAAATTATATTTAGATGTGACAGAACAAGGAATTTCAGAGACAGAAAGGAACACAGAAAGATAGGAAATGGTTTTTTTGTAACAGAAGTTGGTGTTATCACATTTTTTGAAAAGTTATCAGATGCTTAATCACAGAATCACAGATTATCCCAAGTTGGACGGGACCCACAAGGATCATCAAGTCCAACTCCTGGGTCCCCAGAGGACCACCCAGATCAGATCTGCAGGGTATTGGTTTTAATCTGCTGTCCATTCTAGCTATCTGTTAGCTGATATTTCTGCACACAGAGGTGCAAGAACTGGACATAAAAACTTACATTGACAGGATCAGTCACTTAAAGACTGGATTCAGCACTGAATGAAGGCATCGCACAGAAAGTGTCTGTGTGTACTTGTAAACAGAGACAAAACCTTTTGAGCATTAATCATTGCCCATGTCCTTCCTGACTTGTTCAAAGAGTGTGTGACCAAGCCATGACCCTTGTCTAGAAATTTTACTAATGCATGCTAGAGAAATAAAGCACAGTGTCCTATTTCACGCCACAAAGTTCTGTGAAGTTTGACATATAATAGCATGCATTTACATATTTGATGTTCTGCAAGTGTAAATGGGAAGGTAAAAACATGATAATTATCTCACACACATCAAATAAGGCAACAGACACTTTCATTACCATTTGTATAAGCAATTTTTGCTATTCCATTTTCCCTGTCATCAACAGGGCTCACAAGCCTAAAAGAGAACATTTGCTTTTAGAAATGAAATCTAATGCTTTACCTGACAAACTTCATACAGTAATTTGTACTGTTCTTCTTGCTTCTGTAGAGTGCACAAACTGCATCCCATGTTTAAACAAGTGGCAGAAATAATCTTCCTTATTCAGCAGGGCAGCCACAGAAATCTGTTAACAAGCATGCATGCAGAAATCCTTTGGAACACCCAGGTGAGTCGGCTGGCCTGGAACAGTTCACAGTGCTATCGCACAGGGTGCTGCAGAGCAACTGTGCTCTTTTCTTTAGAGCTTTCCCTCTTCCCTGGCAGTACACAACACTCCCTCTGCTGCTCCACTCCGGCTGCCGTGCTGTGCTCCAGTGCGCACGCTATATACTGCTCCTCATGCATATTAATCAGCTCTCATTGACTATTCATAACAGACAGTGATACAGAAGCTATAATTGCCAACTATGACAGCTGAAATTTCTCTAATTAACAGGCAAGTGCTTCAGTAGCAGGCATAATAAAAGACACTAACAATTTTGTAAACCATTTTGTAGCAATTACAAATAAACATGACTACATTTTACCATGGTCCCTCAGGATAATTCTTAACATATTTAAGCAGACTAGAAGTACGTTTTAAATGTAAGTCACAATGCAATGAATCCAACAGCACAGAGCTCGGCAGTGGCTGTGGCAGAGTTGAATATGCCCAGTAGCATTTATTTTTCTCTCATGCTGTGGTGGCATCTGAGAGGCTCAGTTTTATAGCAGGAGCTGACTGAACTAGGAATTTACCAAACAACACAGAAAGGCCATCTCTATCCCTAAAGCCTATGCACAGCCTTAGGACTTCACTACACAGCAATAGAGATGTTACTGGGGGATGTATGTGGATATAGAAGAAAAAAAGAGAGCCTTAGATTAATAGTTACAGGTTAGCTTTAGAGTAAATTTATACCAACTGAAAAATGGCCATTCATGCTGCTTTCTCTGTCTGAATAGTGTAAATGACAGGTGTGCATATTATTTGTTTGATTAAATATCTAAATATTACCAGATTATAAAAAAGATAGACAATAAGTGTGGTGTGTGTGACTGTTCAGTATCTGAGTGCTTCGATCCTCATTAAAATGGTGCCATAGATGTAAAAGGATAAAAGAGCAGCGAACTGCCTAACGAACTAGAAAAGTACCCACAAGTGTAAGCTTTATGGATATTTCCCAGTCTGTAGGAAACACTGCATTGTGATATGAGTCGGATGGACTATACTCTTTCAAATTGTTTAAACATTCAGAAAGCGTGCATTTTTATAATCCTTATTTCGATCTATTCTGCTATGAAGATGAAGCCACAATAGCACAAGAATGAGACAAAGAGTGTAAATTCAGACATGGGTGTTTATGGCAGAGGGCCTGGATCTCAGACTGTGGTTGTCTACCTGGTTTCTGACTGTTGGCTCAGCAGATTTCTATAAATGACAGTGGAGATTTTGTGTGAGGACACGTTCAGCTTTTTGTCCCAACGATCCGGAGGTATCTTGCTGTAGGATGCCCAGCCATTGCCACAATGGTACTCACTCACAGTTTGCATTGAAATGATCAGCTACTGAAATGCAGTTTAGGCTATGCTAGATGTGACCAGCTAGAGACTGTGCCAGGAAGGATCCTAGACACCCTTGCACTCTAGAATGTGTTTGGTGCCTTCCCACCTCAGGGAAACAAAGAAGGGAAACATCAGAAAGCAGCTAAGGACTGCAGCCCTGTGCTGTGACTGGGATGCTTCTCACACGAGATTCCTGCTGTGATAACTTCTAGGGTTAGAGCAAGACAGAGACTGCCCAAATCCTACTGCTGGCCCTCTGTGCTGCAGAAAGGTTCAGGGTTTTGCTGTTAGATATACTTCTATTCAGCTACATACTAAGGGCTTTTCAAAGTTGGTCGACAGCCAGCAGCTGAGAATTTCAAACAACTGGAAGGCTCCTGCAAAAGGGAATTAGTGCTCCCTAAAAGCAGAAAAAATAATGATAACTGAATTAAGAAAACAAGGACCCTAGCATAATTGTAAAGATGTTTATGGCTTTGATTAGATAACTTTTGGTTATGCAATTTGATAAAGTAACTTAAGGTCAAATTTTCAAAGATGTTGCCTATGTTTTTTTCTTTTTTTTTTTTTTATGCAATTTTGTTTCTTCTTAAATACTAGTTGCTATTTAAATATTAAACTTTAGTTCGGGTGGCTGGGTTCAGTCAGGAGTTTTTCTCAGAAACAGCACGCAGCTGGATATGTTAAGAAATAAAACAAACATGCATGATATCTCAATTGCAATTTCAATTGAAATGCACTCGTTTATTATTTTTCTGTGGTGATGTAATGGGCTGTAAGAGATAATGTTCCATTGTATCTAGTAAATGCCACTGAGACCAGTAATAATCTGTTTGCAGAAAGATTCATCTGATTTGAAAAGATAATCTGTACATCAGGCCAGGAGAGCAAGTCCAGCAGAAGACTGTTTTGATGACCGAGCGGAGCTCTCCCCTGTAAGTGATGCTTCGGGTTCTTCAGCTAGCAGAGCAAGCACACTGCTGAGCAGCAAGCAGGGTGGCTCAGTGGTGTGGCTGGCTTTGTTGCACTGTTGCTCTGGTAAATAAGCCAGCCTGACAGTCAGGCCAGCATTTAGCTCAACAAAGATGTTTTTCATTATCGAAATCTAATTCATGTTTCTCTGTTCATCTCATAGGCAGAAATTGTGGCACTGCCTCATGTTAGTATAGCCTAGTTTTTTATGGTACTTTGCCAAACTTCTAACATTTGGGCTGAAAACTTCTATTCTGGACATTGGCCAAGGCAGATTTTTGCTTCAGCCGTAGTGCTTTAGTCATTTCCAAGAGTAAGAGTACAGAAAGAAATACACTGCCTGCCCATGTTAAGAAATTCTGGATACGTTTCCTTTGAGAAGGTTTTAGTATCGGTGTAACTTGAAACAAGAACTTGAAGCCTGGCACAGGGATGGTTTGTGTTGTCCTTGTTGAAAGCTGCTAAATTTGGTCAGCTTTTCAGCTGCCACACTGTGCATATTCTGGGTAAAAAGCTGCTATAACTTTTCAGTTTAACTTCTGTGAGACTTCTTCGATGATGAACCAACTCTATAGGAAACACCAGGAGGAACGAAGAGGCCCTGGAACTGCTGTTCCCTTTCCTAATTGCTCTTTGTGAGGTTCAGGAGCTGACACCAAAACCAAAAAGATCTTTTTGGTGTCCCTCACGGCTGGATTCAGGCAGCCTGACAGAGCCACCTGAACTGCACAAGGTGGGTGCAGGTGCTTTATGACACACACACATACCCAGGCATGTCTGGGGGTTGCAGAAACCATTGAACACGTGCTGTATGTGGTGGAGGTAAACTGGCCTCCTTCGGTTTGTCCGGATAAGGCAGCCTGTCACTGGATCTGTCACCTGCGTTAACGATGTGTCATGTGTGGTCTCGCCAGTGTGCCACAGATAATGAGCTTAACAAAATGGGGCTGCAGAGGGGACGTCTTATATCACATATCATGTAAATATTACAGTGGTCCCAGCTGAACCCGAGCAACCCAGACTGAATGGGAAGTTAGCAAGCCAGCTGACTAGGAACAATGGTAAATAGCCTCTGAATGCACAGGGTGCCAGGAAGAGCTTTCATTAGCATTTATCTAGATTACTTGCTCCCTGACTGATTACATGTGACCAGCGCCGCAAAATCCTTTTTACCAAGATACCTGGCTCCAACTATCAGGCATTCGCTTTGGTGTCCAAGGGCCAGTTTCCAAGGAACTGGAGACAGCGAGCATCCTGAGCGCCTGGCCCAGCGGGAGCAGCGGGGTGTCCTCAACAGGGTGCGGGTGGCAGCTGGGAGGGAATCCTGTCAGCACACAGACCTGTTTTGCTTTTTGTCTTCTTCTTAGCTGCAACCTACAATCCCTCAGCTCATAACTACAAACCGAGTTTAAATTTTGCTACTTAAACGTTTGATTTATTTTTTAATTAAGCCTGTCAGGTGTTGGCAGGTAAAGGGAACGCACAAAGCCTGTGCACTCGAGGTGCTCTGTCTGCACGGGTTGATGAATCAGAATAAAGAGGGAAATAAAGCGCCCACAGGGGACCGGCACCCTGGAGGGGAACATTATGAGGGAACTCAAAGGCTAAAAAGCACTCTCTGCCAGCTTTTCAAGGGTAAGGACTTACGCTGCCAAGTGCTGGCTCCTAGACAGCAGTTCCCACCAGCAAGAATAAACTCACGTCCTTTGTGCGAGGAGCAGATGGCACATAGCTACTCCCCAGATCTGGGCAAACACCAAACCGTTGCACTCAGTTCTGGGAGTTCCTAATGTTTGAGCGGTTGACTGCAATATTAGTAATGGTTTGGCATTGTTTATTTTGTTTCTTTAAATGTGAGTTGGCTTTGTTAGCATGTAGTAACTATTTAACGTTGTGTTTTTGTACATATACTTAGCAAATTCTGTTTCAACAAATGATCCCTATTTAAGCAGTGTGATTGTGGAAGTGTTTGCTAAATGTATCAATACTTTAATTACTTTTCTTATTTTTACAAATATTTAAGACTTGAGAGAAGCAAAGGCTAGGAAAGAGAGCAGCTGTGACTTTATAAATAATTCTCGCATTCGCGTGTTACATAAACAGAAGTCAGGAAACTGTACAGATTCTGATTACATAGGGTGGTGTGAAAGAAAACTGTTTGTGCTACACAACTGGACTTTAAAGCAAGTATCTGGAATTTTTCAAAGTGTTTCTGGGTGCTTTTTAATTATAGCCACTGGGTTGCCTCTATGGCTTGAGTGCCTTTTTGTTGAGAATGTGTTGAAGTTCTGTTTCCCTGTGTTTATTTGCAAATTTTAAATACCACAATCCACTGATAGCTGTGAAGTGTGTGATTCTTAATACTACATTTAATTAATGTGGCTCTACTTTAAAAACACCTTTCTAAAAAGTCCTTTGTTGAATACTTGAAAGCAGACTAGGATTTTCTATGGCATTGTGCAGGCACAAAAATTGAATACATACTCAAAATGTAATAGCAAAAAGATCTCAGTTCTGCACCGTTTTGCATATGGGCAGAGCAATCTGCCTGTGCACTGGAAGCTTCAAGACTGGAGCCAAAATATTTAAACTAAAACATACCACAAGAGAGGATGTGAAAGCAAATGTAAAACGTTGGCTTTATTCCCATCAGTTAATGTTGATGTCTTGAGATCCTTATTTGCTCCACTTAGCTTCTCTGAAAGAGTTCCAATTCTCAGAAGTAACTTAAATGAAATGATATTTATTGTTAAACCATTGAAAGAACTGTTCTGTCCTCTAAGCTCTTTAAAGAGTCTGATATCTTCTTAATTCATGCCACTTGAGAAAAACAGGAACGTTACAGAAAAATCAGAGCAACATCACTGTAAGCACTTCAAGGCCAGCACATATGAGAACGCTACCGTGTTAATTCAGTCTTTCATGAAGCAGAAATGATGAGGTCAGAACAGGGTAAATAACTGTTTAATATGCCACTGAGACCTTGTGATGGAGAGAATGAAGATGCTAAGAGCTGACCTGTGGACTACAAAACTCCTCCTCCTGGGGGCTGCCTGTCTGAGTGTCTGTTACTGCAGTGCCAAGAGGTCTTGGTCAACGATTAAGATAAAAGACGATCCCTAAACCAGAGATGTACATGCTGGATTTACAGTCACACAGCGTTGGGAGTGGGTGAAACAGGGTTTTAACTACTGAGGACAGAGACTGAACAAATTAAAAAAGAAGTGCTCTTTCACCTTCTAATAAACCAGTTCCAAAATCACCATCTGTGATACTCAGACCTAGCAATGCCTGAGTGAGGGACCTGGAAGCAGATAATGCTCTAAGTAGTTGTTCTTTAGCTCAAATCCTTGACATGCTTATCCTTGTCCATCTTTGAAAATGTGACAAAATGTATTCAGCCACTAAGAACCACAAGCCCCAAAGTACAGAAGACTGGCAAGGAAATGAGAAAATCTGATTATAGGCTGGATTTGTGCTCTAAAAGCTTCTTCCATCTTACAAGAAACCTCAGCTTCCTCTCAGAAAGCATCTTTGATTTCCTGGGTTTGATACTGGAACAGCCAAGTTTGTCTCTCTAATTTTTTACAGGTGGTTTAGCTTTCTACTTAAGAAGAATGACAAATATAAGGATGCACAAATTGTCAGTTTTTACATGGTAAAAGCACCGTAGTCATTGCTAGCACAGTTAGAAAAACGTTAAATAGAAAATTAAGAATATTTAAAGGAAGAAAGCAGATCATGAAAGAATAGGAGTGTAGCGTCAAATGTTATACACTGGTGTTTATAAGGTTCATGTGCTGTCCAATCTAAAATTACTTCCAGAGCTCCCATCCCCATTTTGCTTTTGCAGTGAAGTATCACTTCAGAGGGATAGCGCTGGTAAGCAAAGACTGCGGTGAGTGATAGTTCATTTAAAAATAAAAATGTTTTCTGTAAAAGCGATAATACTCTTTTAATAATCTCAGAGCAAGCAAAATGACTCAGTGTACTCGAATGCAGCATAAAAACTATTGACATAATACTTAATCTTTGAAACTGATAGACACGTGCCCAAAAGCTAATAAAGTTCATTCTAATACAAATGAGCAAGTAAAATAGTATATCACAGCCTGTGAGAGCTTTGGATCCCGATCATATAACGGTAGCCCAGGGACAAAGAAAATTGAAGTGATTTAGAAAGGCAGCAAATAGGATATATCTGATATTAGGCAGTTTGCTGAAGCAAAACAGTAATGTCAGAAAGATACAAAGGTGTAAAATCCATTTGACTGTGTCCAAATGCTTCTACTCTTTGACCTTAACGTCTCCAGATGAACTCCCCTTAGGGTCAGCAGAATAATACTTAATAATACATGGTCAGAAACTGCCAAGACCTGCTAAGTATTACAGTCTTCTCTTGGTTTTGTGTTTTAGCTACTTCATTCATACTATGAATTTTAAGCCATTTGAAAAGATTTTAACTTTAATTTCTCAGTTTTTACTGTTCCACACTTAATTTGAAACAGAGCAAAACAGGAATGCCATCTATGGTTCATTAGGTTTTATATTAACCATCTGATGAAAATGATATGTGGGAATATTAAGTATTAACAGTAAATGGCAGTCAATATGAAAAAAGTTGCTGATATGTTTGCCTTTGTAATCATTTCTAGGTTCAGGTGCACATTAAGAATCTGATTTCTAATTCCCAGAGAGAAGTCCTGAGCAAAAAAGACTCAGAAGATGAGCAGATCTTGAATGAAATGGGATTTAAGACTCCTAGGAACAAAGGAAATGTAAGTGTTAATTTCTGTATGTGAAGTTGGGAAAGCTGCATTTCTTCTGAAGGTGAGAGGCATTATTTCCAGAGCTGCTCTGTGTGATTCATTCCACTGTGGGCACACAGAGAGAGCCCAGCAGTGGCTGAGGGTCGGGCACACATGAAGCAGCCGTCATCTCTGCTTCAGCAAAGTCCAGTCCAAACAGACCAAACGTACAGGGTAACAGAGGCACACGGTGACACCCACTGATTTACAGGCACAGAGACAGGCTGTGCCAGCGTTGGGAACTTCACCTGTGTTTTCCTAGTGCCAGCCAACACGTAATCTTGGAATCACCTTCTTCTGAATATGGCAGAACACCAAAGGTGCTGAAATCCTACAGTGAGCTCTGATGCACTCCGTTACCTATTGTCCAGTGTATAAAACACACCAACGGCTTAGCCTGGTGCTTGCTTTCCATTTATCCTGGTCCCCATATCTTACAGCCTCACCAGCCTATGAAATTGCGACTACACCGGTTCATTTCTTGTTTCATTACAAAATCAATACTATTGTGATAACACTGATTTCATAAAAGACTGTCTAAGGCCACAGTCCCTTCTCTGCCACAGGAAGGACACTTCTCACATCTACCGTGGCTCACTTTGAACAAGCAATTCTAGTCCAGGGGGTAAGGCCCATAGTTGGAAACCACAGAACTCACAGCTTTTGTCCTTCCTCAGTTATTAACTTGATCTTGCTCTGCCTTAAATGGTGATGGAAGCCATTTCCACTTGTTATTAGCGATGTATTTTTCTGCAGCACTGTGAATCAATGGTACGTTACATGTTTACTTTAATGAAAAAAATAAATTATCTACACAGGTTATTGTATTGGCTAACTACGTAGAATTATTATGTAGATACACTTCCTCTGCAATTTCTTCCCTCAAAAAACATATTCCGAGAACCAGTATTGATTAAGCAGTATTGAAATGAATACAAAAATATAAACATTTGATAAAAGAAATGTGAAAGTACACAGGCAGACACAATGATGAATACCAATAATAACCCAGAAACGCTCATTCCTATCGGAACACACATTTACCCGCTAATCTTGTAATTCACAATGAAGTCCCATAGCTGCAGGCTTTCCACAATGCAGAAACTGAATTCAGTTGTTCCTGCAGACTCTTTAGACTGGCAAGCCTACCAAGGAAGTAAGATGCATGTGTGTTTGATTCACTTACACCGCAGAAACAAACCAACATCGTCGATAAGGATTTTACAGACAGAATGTAACTTAGAAGACAAGTATTAACTAATTAGATTGTCAAGTTATACGCACAATAAGGGGTTTTTGTTCTGTCGAAATATTATTACACGTCCAGAATTTTTGTCCTGATGGCTAACTGCAGTAGGACGCTGGGCTCTAAAGTGCTAAAGTTTCTGCAGTTTACTGTGTGATTTACAAATTAATGTTTTTATTTTTCTGTTTTGGGTTGTGGTTCATCTATTTTGGGGTATCGGGCATAGTCAAGAAATATGGAAATGTTTTAGTGAAATTTATTACTCACTGTCCGTCTTTGTAACCCTTTGCTGTTCCCCCAAAATGAGAAGGCTGGTGCATAGTTCCACGCTTTCTGTTCAAATTATTTTTGTCTGGCTACAATAATGATAGAAAATTCATATTTATTTTTTTTTTAAGGACAGTGCAGTGCAATGAATGTACTGGATTCCAAGTACATGTCTACAGGCACAATCAATTCATGGCTGGGGGGAAGAGACTTTAAATTTCTGAGAAATGCACCTATGAGAGCATTAAATAACTCACAAATAAAGCACAGACAATGGGGGCACCTACTTAAAATAATAGCTTAGTTGCCAATATGATGATCAACATGATTTTCTGTGCTACTTAAAATCCTTTTCTCTTTATTGGCTGTATTTAGCAGGTTATAAACTGCCAAACATGTATTCCTAAGTCTTTGAAATTCAAGTTTCTGTATGCTTTCTTTGAGTTTCATGTTCTTAGCAGAGGAGAAAAATCACAATAATTAAAGCTTAAAATATTCTCATTTCATGGTGTGGCTAACAAGTGAAACTACAAGTAATGATGTAATCTAACATGTCAAAAAAGAAAATGAAAAGAGGAGACAGAAGGCAGGATGGAGCCAAGGGATGCGATGTGCCATGTCATCTTCTAATTAACTAACTGATCCTTTAAACTGTCAAAATCAGCAAGGAACTCCATGGCCCAGTGTCTTATTAATATTCATACTAGGCCACTAGGAGCTATGATTCCAGTCCCAGTGGTTATAGTTAAACATTTAAAAAAAAAAAAGCCAGGCTAGCCAAGGCTTCAGCAGCTCCACATTCATAAGGAAATGAAGGCAGGCCACCCTGCTTTCTACAAACCTCTGCTGGGGGAAATTCTCTGAGGATGCATATTGATTTCTGAATTATTATGGGGGTTGTATATTGAAAAAACAATTATTTTTTTTCTTGCTATGAGCTGCCACATTGTTAATCACATTGAGATCCGTGTTGTCAAATGAAAGAAAGATGCATGTAACGTTTTGTAATACGAGCCCATTTTTAATTTTGAACACACCAAATGAATACGCAGTTAATAAAACCCTGTCACTTAGAGCAATGGCTGAATTCATTTTGCCTTGTAGGATGCAATTCAGGATTGTTTTTGCAGAAATCTGGGGCCCGCAAGAAAAATAATCTTCCATAATCTTCTTAGAATACAATTATTCTCTTACATTTCAGCCTGCCAGTCTTTCCCCACTCCCACTAAGTGGAGTTTCCTGAACCTTGAAGTCTAAGGCAGCAGCTGACATTTGGTTTCTCCATTCATTTTCTGTTTAATTCTTCATGGCAGGGAGATGCTTTTATTTTTTAATAAAAAGAAATCTGTTTTCTCTGTATTATGTAGTATATTTTGGGGCTCAGTGCAGGCCGGCCACTGACCAGGATGTTCCTGTCTGCAGCGGAAGATGGGGACGGGGACACCCATCAGCAGCACCCGCTGAAGTCAGGGGGAGTTTCTGCACTGGCCTTGTGTAAGTAATTTCAAGACCAGACTATTTTGAGGATAGTTAATCCCATTTTACACTTGCCATTTCTATCTGTGCATGGCATAGTCAAAAGCAATATATTATGCAGCACTTTATAGCAGTATGATCAGTAAAGAAGTAGCAGGGCCATAAATCACATGCTTTACCCCCCAATGAAAAAATAATTAAATACTTTGAATCTCATCAATGTATTTAATTGAGATACTAAAGAAAAATATCCTAGGTTACCACCCTACTCCTTCTGTCCCCGTTACCAGTTTCAGATAGAACTTTTTAATAAGTTCACACAGCCCCTAGAGGAAATAAGACTTCGCATCAGCCACTTTTGCAGCTCGCTGTATGTCCTCACCCCCACCAACAAGCAGGGCCATGAGGAGCCCTGCGCCTCCTGCATCCCGCACCACCCTCTGGCATCATCCCAGAGGACTGATTTTGGGCTCTCGACACAAAGTCCTCTAAAGCCTGAGTCACAGCAGAGAGATTGTAGGTACGTTAACTAACTGCCCCTGGGACTCTTCCATGGCTGCATCACCTGGCCAGGCCCCTGGCGCTGCCTCTCAGCCCACCGCTGTGCCAGCGTAGCCATGCGAGGCCCTTGACAAGCCCTGAGGAGCTCTGAAGTCCTCTCCCATACGGACAGACTTCCCAGACCAATGAACACAGAAACCTTGTGCCTAAAATGTGCATAAAAACGTCCACACTGTGCCTGTGAAGGTCTGAGATTTGTCTGGGCAGTCTCTCAGTGACAGAAAAAAGGAATCTCTGAGCAAAGATATTAACCCAAAGCTATAACATTTTGTTTTATTGCCTTAAATTCTATTATGTATGAAAGACAGGCTCAAATAAAACAAAAAAAAGGAAAAATTAAATACTTTAAACTGTCTGTCAGCTAGGTTAACATCAGGCACTGAACTGCCAGACCACAAATCTTGAATATGTTGACTCGAAATGTCTACCAGGAGCATATGTTATGGATCAAAGAACACACTGATTAATCCAGCAGAGACAAAAGTCTGTCACTGTGGTCATGGTGGCATGATGCCACAGAAGACAGAGCTAAGGAAGCAAATGAACAGAAAACAAATGCCAATGAATAAAATAGCTCTAAAAGGTAACCTCCCAGAATACCTACCCATAATCTCCCGGTTCTACTAGCTCAAATATTTCTACTTATGGGTGCATCTTTTTAATTCAACATGTCCTGATTTTTAAAAATAGCAAAATTCTTAAGAATTTTGTGTACATTAATGCGTATTTCTGTGCCATGATTTATTTTAAATTTATTCGAGCAGTTTATAATTTTTATAGTGAAAGCTGCCTACACGAAGCTGTGTACATTGGTGTGGCATTAGGAAACAAGAATTTGGAATCACAGAGCTAGGTTGTTCCTCCTTGGTATTTTTAATGGTTTCTTTTGCATTACTGTCAAACCTTTAAGTAGGGGAGTGTCTTGTTCCTGTGCAGTTTTACAGGGTTTCCTCATCTGACCAAGTTAAGAAAACTTTAAAACTACTTTAAAGGAGAGAAAGATAATAGCATCTTTTTTTTTTTAATTATTATTATTTTTTTTTTTCCAGGGAGCTTCCTGTCAGCAGGAAGAAGGGGAGGCTGATGGTGGCAGGGTGGCTGTGCTTGATACAAGCCTACAGCAAGGTAGGGTTGAAGACAGCCCTGTCTGCCTGTGCTTTATTTCCACATTTATCACTACTCTACAACCTCTCCCTCTGAAGTAATGCCTCAAACGTCACTGCATAAAACAGCAGCTACTCAATTTTTTTTAGTAATTTCCAATATTTTTCCATACAGCATCACAAGTATAGTCATGAACATTTCCCAGTCTGGCGTGTCTTCCTCAGCGCATGTTTCTGAAAACTTTTCCCATAACTAACACAGGAACATTTCAGATATTTTTCATTTAGTTTCAGTGTTTCCTTAAAAGTGTTTCTAACATTCTCCATCTCTGCACTCATAGTTTCTTCCTTACTGTAAGTTTAATTTAAAAAAGCTTTGGATAAAAAGTCTTCCCTAAATACAAGCTTTAATACTGCAAATATTTCTTGTGCATGAGCTACCAAGGCCAATAGTCTGTGGGGATCCTGCTTGTAAACCAAGGGATTTGTACACAGATTATACTCAGAGGCATCTGATTCTTTGGAGAGAATGGGACTCCCAGCACTCGTCTTTTTGCTTCCAGAATAGTCTCTGATTAAGCTCTGTTGAAAGGCTCCCCATTCTGCTTGTCATTCAGTAGTGTTTTAACGTGTCCCCGACTTTTTGAAAAGATAGCTGCCTTTGTCATAATAATATCCTGTCAATGCATGCATGTATAGTTGCTAACTTAATGCATAATTTATGAATTAGGTTTTTCAAAGGTATTCATTGAGCGGGTATATTAACTATACACGTTTTGTAAATTTTCTGTCTCATTTTGGCAAAGGATAAGTTATCAGTAATCTTAGAATAGAGAGCGTATGTGAATGTATGTGCATATTTTGTGTTTGGTAATACATATTTATACCATGATATCTAGCAAGCATGTCAGAAAATACATGCACCTCCACTTTTACCTGAGCTCATTGCAAAATGATACTATATTTGTGTTTTCTGGAGGAATAAACATTGCTGTATTAGGTAGATTCCTTTAACAAGCTACTGTTCACTTACATTTGTCCCAAGCTGCTTCTTCTGCATAATTTAAAAGACAGCTGTCACAGCTACATGCTATCTTGTCTAAAATCTGACATTTGTACAGTGTTAAAAAAGCCACCTACTGTGCTCAGTACTCTACACATGAGCATGTCCATTCCCCTCAACATCAGCTGGAGCTGGGGACACCCCTGCGTGGCAGTGGTGCTCAAAACCTTGCAGGTTTGGCTAATGCCAAATCCAGTCGTGCTTTGGGGAAGGTTTAGAAATGAAAGGTGAGAAGCCATGAGTCTTTACAGCATTGCTTGCCATGCCTGCTACACTGCTGGTGGAGACGGCAGTCTGTCTGCCAGGCCATGGTGCACGAGGTCTTGGGGCAAATCCCCGTGCCAGCTCTGGGTCCTTCAGATAGCACCCAGTGACTAAAGCTAACCCCTGGGAAGCGGTCTGGGACACTCCACAGCCTGAACATGGCTTGGGAAAACAGCATTAAGGGACCTTGAAAGGGACAAAATGCTGGAAAAGCATCAGGAACTCATCAAATCCTGTTACACTACCACAACGACTGGGAGTTTCTTCAGAAAAAGAGTTCAAGTTAATTGCACGGTCAAGACTATGAGCTCAGGGTCCTTGTGACTCAGGAACTGATTTATGGACTGCAAATATGTATATCCTTCTGAGAAAAGGCCATTTCCTGTTTAAAAATTTAAAAATACTTGATTAAACTCTGCGGTTACCAAACCAAACACATTACACTATTTAGTCCATTAAAACTCCGAAAGCCTGTTACTTATTGTACAGTGAAGCATTGATTGCATTTAATCTTTCCTCCTTCTGCTGTTATTTTCATTTCCTGTGAGCAGTGTGCACTACTGGCAACAAACACTGCCAGCACTCGCTGGCCACTGCTAGAGTTGATTAAAAACACCTATTGTCACTATGACAATATTTATAAGAAAATATCTGCATTTTATGAACGATTCTTATTATTTCTATTGTAACAAACATGAAAGCTGGAGCCAGATGATAACAAGGATACTTGAGCAAGCTCCACAGGAGAACTCTTATCTTTTACGGTTAAATTAAGTTAGTGTCATAAGCTTTGATCCATTCAACTGTTTGATATATTACACGACTTTATGAAAAGCACTTTTTAACTGAAGCTAAAACCAGCACGAGCGTGTTTCTTAAAGGGGAAAAAAAGAAAGCCGACTTTGACCTTTACTATAATTGTCCAATAATAGTTTGTTATTTACCAAGTAACAAAGGTAAATACTATTATTACTCTAACTTTCACTGCTGTGGTTATAAATACACAGGGGAAATGATGCAGTCAGACCCTTTTTTTTCCACACTCCTACTCATGGGCTTTTTATACAGCTGAGGCTGTCTCAGAAGCGGCAGTCAGAGGCACTTATAAAAACAGAAACTCTAAGTTGGAGCACAGCACCAGGCATACATAGATAATGAAAATCCATAAAGATCAAATTCAGAAATATTTTTCTATGGAGTTCATCAGCCAGTGCTAATTTCATATTCTAGGTCTGTTTTTCCATAGGTCAGTGAAAAATGCAAACTTCTAAAGGCTGTGTTCCAGGTCTGTGGTTCCAATGGCTTTCCTTTCCCCCTGCCACTCACACCTTTAGACACAAAGCTGTAACAGCACAAAGATGCTAAACTGCAGTCTTCAAAAGTCTAACTCACTTCAAAATCGTGGAATAATTTTTGAAAAAGAATGTGTTCTCAAAAAGGTATACATATAGTACAGATCACGTCTACTGAGTAAAATGGTTTTATACTGAGAAGTGAAACTTTGCTCCTGGTTTTGGCTTTCATTTAAAATCAAAGAAATTATTTTCCTCTTATCTCCTTCTGTATAAACTCTGTTGTGAACTTTCTCTAGCAAATTTCAGAGAAATGGTGATGGAGAGTTACTGACTTTGCAATTCATGGAACAGTGAGTTGGATGTTTTTTCCTTTCTTTTACAATCACTTTATCTAAAACTCAGGATTTGCATTAGTGCTTTTTCAGCTTAGGGTGGTGATTCAGCTTAAAGATGATTTTTGCTGTCAGTGAGCAGAAATGAAGAGATGACTTCTCAGATCTTCTGCAGAGTCTGAATTTGTCCTTGTTTAGCTATCAGTAGTGGAAATAAAGAAGAAAGGGAAGACTTACTGTTCTTCCAAAAAATACATCATCTCTGAATGGTGGGGGCGCAGGAATTGCTATTATAAAATACAGTGTTGTCAGAAACTTCCAAAAGGTGTCGTGTTGGGATTTTTAAATGCCCAGCATCAATTTAACTCAAAATGCTGCCCCAATGGAAATAGGATTATTATCTCTGTTAAAATACATCTTCAAGAACCTAAAAAGCTTTGACTCATCACTCAGATATACTTAAAGTTACATCTTTAAGTTGTTGAGCAAGTCATTTTTAAGATAAGTCTGTTTGATTTTGTGGCTTTTAAAAGTGACCATTTGTTAGAGAAAGCATATCAGCAGGAAGAAATTGTGTGATTTTTTTCCCCCTGCTACTGCGGATATAGCCTTTCGGTTGCTCTAGTAATTACTTGGATCAGACCACAGGACTTTTCTGATTAGCCTGCAAACTTTCCTCCTACCTGGAAGATAAAGGATTAATCTTTTCAACTGTCACAGCATATAGCCAGCATTGTACTCTTGGTCATGATGGTAATTTCTTAAGTCACATGCTTAGGGTTAAAATCTTGCTCTTGAGTTGCAATATGTGACTAGGATTTAAGTATCTGTTTTGTGTGATTAAGAGTAATTCCGAGCAATTAAAGAAAACAGTTCACTTGTGGCAGGTGGCAGAAAGCTAAAGAAGATAATTACTCTTTTTAGCCATCTGTGTTAGCTGCCATTAGCAGAATTAAACTGAGATTCACCACTTTGAAATCCGAGGCAAAGTTCCTTTCCCTTAACCACATAATATAACATTGTCTGAAGTCTAATTAGGGGGAAAAAAAGAGGTAATTTAATCCTGCTTGCCATGGGGTGCCTATTTATTAATTTTATTAAAAGTGTTGGTACTCCAAGATAGGATAAATTGAACAACGGCTTGTATTAAATGTCTTTGAGTTGTATGTTGGCTTTGAAAAACTGATCAGCTTTGAGGAGTTTGTCCTGGAAAGTCCTAATCTATACCATCAACAACTGCAGAAATGAATGTCTTTGTAAAGAAGAAACGTTTCTTATTAGGACTATTCATATTAGGATTCTGGTAAAATTAATGTTGTCTCACACTACAACTGTAGAAAGACACAGACCCAGCCACTGTATTAGATGGACAAAAGGTTACTCTGGAACAACTGCAAATATCAGCAATACTTTTGAGTACTGAAGTACTAGGGCTTGGGACTTTTTATGGTAAACATTACGCTTAATCAATGGTAGGAGTTTTCATGTCTGTAGAATGATCCTGGATGATCATTGCACCTTCCTTGCTGATTAATACCAGCAACAGTTCACGTAAAAATAGGTGGATTATCTTAAAGGAATCATGTTGGACTTAATGGCTGTAATGACAAATTATAAATTTGAGAATATATTATGATTCTTCTCTTGTCTGAAATAGTTGATGATTGTATTTTTCAAAACCCAAATCTGCATTTACTGGCCTTCCTTGTGCTTCAAGCATCCGTTAGCAAGGAGAGACATAGGATGCCTGGAAAATGCTATCCAACTGCCTCAGATCTGGTTTCAGAAAGTACCCTTCTGTAAAGGCAGAAAAAAAGGGGGAGAGGTAAAGATCTGAGATGACCTTTAAAAAAAGCAAATGCCTAAAAACTGATATAACAGCCATACTACAAAAGAAGGACTGAGATGACAGATAGGATGGAGGACATGGGAGGATCTGCAGCCCTTTCAAGCAGTACCTGGAGACCAGGGCAGATACTCCACAGTGCCTAAATGCCACTAAACTTCCATGCTCGGGCCAAACGCCAGTTCAGGTGTGGTATAAATGCTATGCCAAGCTGATCAGGCAGTTGGAACAAGCTAACCTGTAGCTACAGCCAGATAAATGAAATAGGCATTTCCACAGATACTGTACAAAGCTTCTCACTGGGTTTATTGTGCTTGTTCCTTTAGCTAGGGAGTCATCTTTAATTGAAATAAAGAAAATATTTGCTGTAGAGGAAATAGAAACAAGCTGAATCCAAGTGAAGAGCTGTATGTTACACAGACAAGACAGTTACTCAAACCTCCTCTAATGTACCAGCGTCCTGCAAGTTGTGTGCTAAGTTTGTTTGGCTGTGCAGCCGCCTGGCCTTCCTCAGCAGAAGATGCTTCTTACATCTTCTTCCCTTTCTGGACTGTGTTCTGGGGCTTCCGTACAAAAGGAAGAAGGGAGTGGGAGGCAGATATTGTGCTGGAGAACAAAAGCCCTTCAAATAACTCTTTTAGACACATTTCACGCTATAATTGAATGAATTGTACAGAAAATCCTATGTCTGTAGAATACAACTCCCCAGGTGCTCTCAGCTACTACATCCGCAGCTGTTTATATTCAAACTAGGTAATTTAATACACTTACATCTGTGTATATTGTACAGTGTATTTTAAAATCAAATGGCTATGAATTTTGATTTGGAACAAAGCAAATGTCTATGAAGAGACGCTGCCTTTCTCCTTGGACCTTGCTGTTCATCTCCGAACATTTAAGCAATCTTAAAAATAGAGCATTCTGCTGAGGCATAAGCTCTGCTTTCAGTGACTGCGTAATGTCACTGACATGCCATACATGCACAAAAAAATGTATGTGTCACGTCAGCTGGCAAATCAGCTACCGCCTGGTATTCCCCAAGGGGTGGATTCATGCAGGAGGCTGCCAAAAGAAGGGTCATGATTCAGTTTGGCAGGGGCATAGCCTGGACACATTTTCATTTAATTGTTCCTTGTCATGTGAGATGCGGTCCTGGGTGACATTGTGGCTAGAGCAATACAGACAATAAATACCCAGAGTCTCTAAATACTTTGTTTATGTTACCAGTGATCATTAGAGATAACAATAATTAGCGTTTCCTTTTCTCCCACTTTGTTTCCATCATTTCTGCCTGACTGATGCAGGAGTCAGCGCACAAGACCTACAGGTACATTAAAATGGGATATTCTCCCTGGTTGATCTCTAATGTTACAGTCAAACTGCTTGTGCCTCACTTTGTAACTTCATCAACACAGGGAAGAAAGGCTAAAGATACTTCTCAGGTCTCCCTGTAAAGCCTGATGGCTAAGGATGTCCTACAGTTTATTCACAGCAGGAAGCAGTGTAATTGTCAGCTCCGTATTTCTCTCCTAAAGAGCTGTCTTTGGCTAAAGGGAGAAAAAAAAATGTGAACAAGATTTTACAAATTTGGCATATGGTAGAGTAACTGAGGAGGCTGAAAATGTCTCAGCTGCTACACAGCACTGGACAGAGAATAAACACCCTTCTGGGGTGGGCAGCAGTAGGTGGCTGTCCCATCCCATCCCATCCCGTCCTGTCCCTTCTCTCCACGGGAAGCAGCCTTGTGGGCCAGAAGCCTTGGCCAGGCAGGATGGACAATCAGAGGAGCACCTCACACCCAGCCTGGACGGAGACCCCAAAAGTTGTAGGGGACCTGGGCAGTGTGCCCTAACAGCCCTCTGCTCCTGGAACCCCTGGTGAACCAGAGCCCGATGACCCCAGCTCTGGCTGCTCATTTCCTGGCACCAAGGGAAAGGTCTTTGTTTCATTTGCCCACAAGAAGCTCTCCGACTCCTCGTGCAATTAGCATTTAAGAGTGTGTCCAGTGTTTGAAGGAGTCAGTCGCCCATTTAATTGTATAAAAGCAAAGGTTTAACCACAAAAGCTGCCAGGCACTCCTGCAACGAGCATTTATCAGCCACACAGAATGTCCTTGGGCGATATATTCATCAAATGTTTATTGACTTAAGCTTTGGGCATTTTACAGGATTAGAAATTATTACTTCTGATTTAAATAGTGTTTAGAGGACAGAAATAAAATACAAATCACTATTTATAAAACAATAGATTTTTTAAGGAATGCACACCAGAAAATTGGAGAGCAGGAGCCTCTCTCCAGTGTTTCAGAGCCAAAGAAGGGTCTCTCTATACAGCCAACAGCCAAGTATTAGAAATAAAATGGGCTCATTTTTGACCTTAAGTGAGGCTTTGCTCTTCCCAGTGACTGTTCAGAGGAGAGCATATCAGGTCCCTGAAAATGTCTGCAATTATGTGAGAAACACGGAGGGCTGCTTCTCCTGCTCATTTGGTTCTGACAGTCCAATTGTTCATAAACATCCGAAAAATGACAAAACTCCTTCCTTTTTAATCCTACACCATTTCCAAATGCAGGCAGCGATCACTGGATATTTGAACTCTGCTGAAAACGCTGTTTGGTCACTCAGGAAAGGGGTTATCTAATTCTGAGGGGAAACTTTCCACCTACTCAGTCAAAGCTGATCAGCAGAGATGCGTTCATCAGCACGCAGTCTGCAGTAGAAGTGATGCTCTCTTGGGGGGGAACAAAACACTCACATAGTCTGTGTCCAAGGATATAGATATAAATATATTATCTGTTGAATTCTATCTCTGAAACAGCTTTATCCTATTGAATAATCCCCTGAATGTGGTGTTGATCTTCATGCAGGGCTCAGCAGCAATGACCCACACGAGCCGCTGGCCCAGCCCAGGACGGTCCCTGCCACCGAAGTCAGATCTGAAGAATTTGCTGTTTCCCATCTGCAGCCTTCATCTTCCCGTAAGGAAGTTCATGTAAGGGTGTGTTTATATATATAAAAGGTATTATCATTTAATATATTATCTTGGCCTTTACAGGCTTGTCCTATACGTAGCCACGAGAGTGTGACATTTGTTTATAGCTGAGACCTGCTTTAAGTGAAGGGCATCTCACACAGCAATTTGTCAGTGGCTAAAGAGCCCGGGGCTAGGAGTAGACATTCACTTACAGATTCTTTGGACTATTTTAAACAGGCCTTTGGGACCTCCCTGCTGACCAGCCCATAACATGCCCTTCTGTAGCATCTCACTGTGCTATTTCTTTTAATTGACTAACCTCAACACTGGCTGTTCAAAATCACTTTAACCCAAACATGCCCCCGGTCTGAAGCTCCTAATGACCTTCCCCTGGCCCTAAACACATATGGCTGAGACAATGCAAACATCATTTGGAAGATGAGTAAATTCAATAACTCAATTACCACCGCACCAAAATAACATTTATCAAACACTGGCCACAGCGGTTTGTATCTTTAGCTCTCTGTGTTTCAGTGGCACGGCATTTGGGTGAAAGTAACTAATCGATTTAGGAATGATTAAATAGAAATTTGTAACACTTGGCATTATTAAACCTTCAATCTTCATTACAACTGCTTAACGATTACATCATGGGCTGTGTAAAATAAATTAACAGTAGCTGGAAACAATCTCATCATAAATAAAGAGAGCAAAGGTATTAGACTAGCGTTCAATAGGAAGTCTAATAGAAATACATATATTGTGGCATTATTAGTGGATCGGACATACTGAGGTTTGGAGAAGTTTTAAGACTGAAAAAACGTGCAAAAGCTGAACCCTACTTTACAACCCCCCATTACCTACCATTGAACTCCTTGATTTTAAAAGGCCTAATTTAGTGGCAGAGCCAGCACCCCGAGGGCTAGAGATGACTAACGGGTCACCCCCTGTATCCTCCTCTAAAGCAGAAGAAACGCTTCCTTTAGAAGCAGCCTGGATCCCACGTCCTCCTTGTGGGCTCCCACACCCTCACCCTTTGTCTGAAGCGCAGTAAGGTTATGTACTTATTTATGAAATAGCACAACGGAATTTTTTTTTTTGATCTATTCTAGCAAGAATGAGGAGTCAGGGGTGTGAAAGAAGTCTGGTGGGTCCAGCCTTTTGCACTGTCAGCAGGACCATGCTGAGATCAGAGAGGACTTTCCAGGTAGCTGTAACCCCTATTTGCTCTTCCCTCTTTGGGCTTATGCCAAATTCAGTTTGCCTGGTATTGGAGAATGTGGGCCAGAAGGTTCCAACACCAAAGCTTTAATCTCCATCACTAAAATGTAAATAGCCTCTACCTTTACATTCAGGTTCAAAAAAATAAAGCAGCCTTTTCTTTCATCTCCTACTGCCATCTCTTTTAGGAGGTGAAAAAGAAGCAATAAACCTGGTTCTGAATGACTAATGAAGTTAAAACAAAACAGCAATTAAAAAGAATTAACAAATATTTATCAAATATTATTGTCCTATTTAGAAAGGGTTATACAACACAGACTGTTTTCCAACACATCAACCATTACCGTTTCAGTGAAAAATAATTTAAATCACGACTCTCCTCCTGTTAAAACTGGAATGTAAATTTAAGTCACCAAACCCAATTTCTATGCTATGACATATAAGAAATAATATATCACATATTATTGACAAAGATAAATATAGTCCCTTGCTTACTTTTCGGGAAATGAAGCAAGATGGCTGCATCAAAATGGCTCAACCCTATCTTCCCTTATCAACCCTTTCTTCCAGGCTCAAGCATGTAGCAAATGCCATTATTATGTTCATTGACTTGTGTGTGTACTGAATCAGAACTAAAACAACTCATTTCATAAAATGACAGATATATTGTTACAATAAAATGTTTGGACCCTTTCTGTAATTCCAAAGTAGGGTTTTTTTCTTTCAATGGTGTATTTAGAAAATTTAAAGGTGAAATTTGTATAAATTGTTACTAAGTGTATTGCAGTCATTAACAGTGAAATATATAAAACACTTTCCCCCTACAGATGGAGATGTGTACCACACATCTTCTCATGTACAAAAGGGCTATGTTATACCAGTTCCATAAATATGATTTTGGAGAGTTCTGCTCCTCTTACAAGAGACTTTTGCTAATCAGTTGTGAAGTCCCACATGTTAAATGCAACAGCAGTAGAAACACATATTGATTGGTAAGCCAGCAGCTGGAAAAGGTGTTTTATCTCAAGGCTCTGGGTTTGATTTATCCCAGGTCGGTGTTCCAGCTGCCAAGCCAGTCACTGACTGTCCTGTGGGACGGCGGTGGGTGGGCCTAGATCAGGATCTGGGAATGGCATTAAAATCCCACAGCAATCAGTATCCTAAAACATAGCTAAGATGCTAAACAAACTGTGGCGGTATTAGGCTGTTGCTCCAAAACAACACGTTTCCAAGTTGTATTGAGTGATAAGGGAGAACATTTGCTGTGTTTCTGGCTGTTCTGTATTGTACTGTGCTTCTCTAAAAACAGAGCTTTTCCTTTAAAGGCAAGGAAAGCTTATGACATTGATCCAGAGATACGAAGCACATTTCTACACCCATCCCCTTAGAAGCCTACTCCAAAGCTTTATGAAGTCAATAGAAAGATTTCTGTAGACTTCAAACGCCTTCACATGAGGCTCTGGGGAGCACACACATCCCATGAGAACCTGAAGAAAATATCAAAGAGTCTAGAAATTCAGATGTTCCCCTCGGTTTATTTTGTGACCACACCACACTACATCATAGATTATCTCTGTGGCTGATAGGAACGTAATTTGTGGAGGGCTGGGTTAACATCATCAGTGCCACAGCCTGAGCAGATTGCTTCCCCAGGCTGGTATCTGAGTTCCTCAGCCCCCTGTGAGACAAATTCCTTTTTCATTAGTTTTCCAAAGAACATTACTTTGACCAGGAAATATGAAATATGCTTTAATCTTGGATAGCCTGGTGAGGTGTATTTGCATTAACTCTCCAAACAAGAATACAAATTTAGGGTTCAGCTGGTGGTCCGACCTAATTCCCATTTTACTGCCAATGTTCCTCAGTATTTGAACATCAGTGATGCTAATAACAAGTATTTCTAGCTCCATTATCTAGGGTTGATTCTGTATTCCATTTATATGGGCTATATAAATTCACCATTATACCATACACCTGTGCTGCAGAAAGAATGAATTTTGTATCTGACTTTCTGAATCTTCATTTTGGCCAATATATTTGCCGTTATAAAGATGTTACAAATCCCCTGGTACAAGGGCATCTACCCAACAATTCAGGCACTTAAAACAACCAGGCAGCTACTTTTTAAGCAAGATTGCAGAAGTGCTACAACCAAGACTAAAGACTGAGTAGTTGAGCCTCATCACAAGCCCTAACCGTAAGTATTCCTTCTTTGCTCTGCCTGGAAGGTGCTGGGACAGTCACTATCTGCTCTGTCTTCTCGTTCAGTCCTGAGATGCCCGATGCTTGGACAGACAGCTGAGCTTGGTTCTTGGTGACGATGACTGGGTGTCTTTTCAAGTGTTTAACTTTGTTAAGCTTTGTTTAGCTTCTGCAGACAGTTTTAAGACTTGCTACTGACATACATCCCACCACGTTTTGCACTAAGTTAACTGCAGAATAATTGAGAGCAGATGTAGGGCAATAATGGAACAAACAGGATTGTCTTGTTATCAGTTCACAAGACAGCAGACGATCCTTTCTATCTTCTTTGAGGAAAAACACTTTGAAATGATTACTCTAACAGCAACGTATCCCTCACGGCAAGGCTGGAATGATCTACTGCTGCAGGGCAAGCACACAATCGTTGGGACGCTGAGAATAGGCAGGACTCAAACACAGGGATGAGAGTTCAGCTCTCTGTGCTTTCCTGTGGTAGTTCTTTTATTTTTGTTTATTTATGGAGAAATAAAGAGTGTAATGTGGAAGAGTAACACTAATCTAAAATGTTTCAGCTAGATGTGTTTTAGTTGGCAGGATAATAATAACTTAGTAATAACCTCACAACGGCACTGGGTGTATCAGAGAATGAACACAGCCTACGCTCATAAATGTCCAAGTGTTTATGGAGGAGGATAAATTTATTCCCAGAGTTCACCAGCTGCTACTGAGCAAGTTATCACTACTCTGTTTCAGGTTTTCTCCAGGTATTTGCTGCTGGGAGCTGTGCCTAGTAAGGCATTACATCCTCAGGGTGCACCAAAGGGCCGGGACAGAGACACCATGTGCTGGTTGCAGAGCATCATCAAGCTGTCAGCCCTCCGAACGCCAGATCAGGCAGCACCAAAAGGTACACATTGCTATGGGACAGCCCAATCAGTTCAACAGTAAAATTAGCAAAGTAATGAAAACAGAGGGAGAACTAATGAGCTTTCCTTAAGTTTCAGCCTGTCATGTTTCTCCTTCCTTCTGAACTCTTAAGGCTGGGTCTCAAAAGAGAGGAAGGAGAACAAGTCAATTTAGATGTCATGTAAATTGGCAAATCCAACTCCTTGATTTCCTAGAGCCTATTTACTGAGTGCTCTTTAAGAACATAAATGGTCAGTGGTACATGCAAGCTCACTTGATTTCCAGTACATTAAAGTTCAGAGGACTTCATCTAAAGTTGTGATTAAATGAAGACAAGCCTTGTGTCACCAGGTGAACTTTTAAAAAGCGCAATTTTAGTTTCAAATGTACTTTTTTTATTAGTGTCTTTGTTTGGCATTCTCAAACTAAAATTTCTAAAGCTGAATTACAAACCTACAAAAAATGCAGTTACCATTTAGGTACCAAAACAGCCATACGTGTGTTGGTGCAAATGATACCATTGTAACACAATAATCAAATGACTTTCTCATAAACTCTTCTGTAATCCAATAAAGCAACAGCCTTTTCTTAAACCTTTATCAATCTCAATCTGTAATATTTACATACATATCACAGATAGGGGATGAAAGGGAGCTGGAATAACTGACAAGCAAACTGAGATAAATGAGAAATAGCCCATCATTATGGCAAAAAAAGCAAAAGGCAGCATTATGTAGAAACTTTATCGAGTAATTAATGATCTATCTGGGAATAATTACATGTGACTCACTGCTCCCATTTTCTTAAATGAATTTAAAAGCTATTAAATATCCCCTTAACAATAAACAGCATGTGAGATACTGCTTTGCAGCTTTTGTCCACAAAATTTTATCTTAATCAGTGAATATGGATAGTCTTAAGGAAGAGCGGATGAGCGGATACAGCTGCCAGGTAGTGACGGATATGTATGCTTATAAGAAAAAGGCTGAGATAATGGATAAGAAGACACACAGCCTTGCATATTAATGGTGTTACTATGACTTGCATTGTACGAATATAACTAGATGATGTCTTTTTACGGCCAGTCTAATATGAGTAAGGCAGGCCCAGTGAATGCATGTGACAAACACCCTGTAATTGCCATTTCTGTCCTGCAAGCACAGGATGGGGTGGGAAGAGGACATGGGTGGGAGGAGGACACACAGGGTGGGAGAACATTCCACCATGTGCATGGGTCTGAGCGAGCAAAGCAGTCTGAAGGGGACTTAACTGAAGATGTCTGTACACAATCCATGATCCCAATAGGTTCAGTGCAAGACTCGCACCATTATATTACTTTTTTTTTTTTTTGGTTAAAAAATAAATGGAAATGATGTTGAGTGTAACCATGCGAGAGATGAAAGAAGATCCAGACTAGGAAGAATCTGATCCAGTCAGAATCACAAGTTCAACAGGACAGAGAGTAAATGCATTTTCTTTTCCTTGACCTGTGCAACAGGATAAGGCATTTATTAGGTGGATAGTGTGGATTTGAGGAGAGTACTGTGCTTAGGTTTCTTTCTGAGTACCCTAAAGACTAGATTATTATGCAAGCATTAGCTGCAGTATTTTTAGACTAGAGCAATTCCATTACTAATTTCAAAGCAAGTAATGTTGTCTGTACATGTGGGGATGGAATGAGTCTACCTACCAGACTGAACTGCTCAGGTTGGGCCATTCAAGCAAGCAACACTTTGCTTTTGCAACTTAGGTAGAAGGAAAATGCTGAATTACTTGGGGTAGTAATGACTATGTGCAAAAAGAAGTTAAAGCTTCTGGGGGGTTTTAAATTGAAGGAATGAAACAAACCATTTCTATTTTACAAAGTTTGTTCTTTTAATACCAAGTCCTGTATCAGTTCTATTTCTTCATCATATTTTTGCATATTTTTTCATAGAAAGAGATCATTCTGCCTCTATTTTAAGATTTCATCCTACTTATCTGCCTAGATTTTAATCCTTCAGGGCAAAGTCTGGTTCTTATTCTGTGTTTGTGAAGGTATGCACGATAAAGTCTTGTGTTTTAGCTACATGCTCTAATCATCCGTAAAGAATGTTGCAGCACAAAAACAAAGAATGACAAAAAAAAAGTCCTCCTCATGAAGTGAAATGAACTTACAGTGCACAGCTGTTTCACTTAATGGGTACAGTTGTTTATATTCCCAAAATAAAAATTGCTCAAAACTGTACAGAAATTTAACTTACAGAAGTTTTTATAGAAGTTTTTTTTTTTTTTTTTTCCAGTTCACTTACAGGCTAAACATCCCACAAAAAATAATTCTATCAAAACACCAACAATCTTTAAGTACTCTGTTTCCAAAGATAAAGCGTTTACCATTAAATTATTTTTTTCCACCAAAAACACTCTATTATGCTAACAAGCTAAATGTCGTATGAGATGATTTAGTGTCATTATTAGTGTTCTGTATGAGCACTAATGACCTTGCATAAAGCAGACATAAATTATTTTCACATACCATCCCTAGAGTAGCTTTATGAAAATGCATGCAGTGATTGTGTACTCAGTTCTTCAATTAAATGCCCGAGAAGAAGTGACTTTGGTAAGATTTTGCCACTTGATTTCTTGGGATGATCCCATTCCCCAAAGTGATAATAACCTACTTTTATGCTAAAGGGCAGTGATTTGAAGGAGAATATTAAAAATCTATAGCTGTTGTATTTAGCATTTAATTTCAACTCAATTAAATTGCCATTT